ACATCTTTTGTGTAAGAAAGAGCCCTGGGAGTCATAGTTGACTCTTTGGGCGGAGAGCTGATTGGCTGAGTTAAGGTGGTCATCTCTTCTTTCACTTTTCTGTCTGTAAAATCTGCTCTAAAGATGTGAAAAAGGCCAGAAATACATGAAAACTAGCGATAGAAGCAAAATGTTTTAGAGACAAGGACACCTTGGAGATCTGGATTGCATTATAGTTCTATTTATTCTGGTTTGAAAGTTACTTTGTGACTCAAATTTCAGTCTCTGCTCCAGTCTGTGCTCCAGTCTCTTCTTCAGTCTCTGCTCCAGTCTCTGCTCCAGTCTCTGCTCCAGTCTCTGCTCCAGTCTCTGCTCCAGTCTCTGCTCCAGTCTCTGCTCCAGTCTCTGCTCCAGTCTCTGCTCCAGTCTCTGCTCCAGTCTCTGCTCCAGTCTCTGCTCCAGTCTCGGCTCCAGTCTCGGCTCCAGTCTCGGCTCCAGTCTCTGCTCCAGTCTCTGCTCCAGTCTCTGCTCCAGTCTCTGCTCCAGTCTCTGCTCCAGTCTCTGTTTGTCCTACTCTTTAATATAAAGTTCAAACATGTTCTAGAAATATAATAGATTTTAATAGGATCCTATCAACTCTCACACAGGGGAAGAACGAATTAAATCAAAAGTTTAAATTACACATTGGGGAGAAATATGCAAAAACGTGTCGGTGTGACGAATCCTCTCTAATTTAGCGCTTCAAAATTCCTCCATTATGAACGTTTGATTGACGTTTTATGTGTTTAAATTTTAATATGGCATTTCAGGAGGTCAGGAGTCGGCCACTGTCATGTTAGAGCCTGATTTTGAAGCTTGTATTTTGTGGTAATTGGTCTCTCTAACTTTGAGAATAATTGACCTGAAGAGAATGAATTATGAAGGGTTTGACACGGGACAAGATCAAGAGACTGAAACAAGGACACTATTTTACCTGATTTTTCAATAAATAATCCACGTTTGTCACAAGCTAAAGTAAAATGAGACCACAACATGCTGTCGACAACAACATCAACATGTTTGTGTAAGAAAGCCCATTAAGTCACTATTTGACTCTTTGGGCAGAGAACGAATTGGCAGAGTGAGGGTGGTCCACTCTTTTTTTTCTTTTCTATCTGAAAAAGCTGTTCTAAAGATGTGAGAGAAGTCTCTGTTTCAGTCCCTGCATCAATCTCTGCTTGTGAGGAAATTGTTTGATGGATTTTATTCATTTTGGGTGAGTTGAAAGTCAGGTACCCCGCCTTTAAATCGGAAGTACTAATAAAAAGTATGAGAGAGAGAGAGAGAGAGAGAGACCAGAGAGAGAGAGAGACCAGAGAGAGACCAGAGACACCCCAGAGAGAGACCAGAGAGAGAGAGACCAGAGAGAGACCAGAAAGCGATATATACAGTACAAACACATAGAGCCATTGGTCCAAGAGGGGCGAACACCATTGTCAAATGTTGTTGAAGGTTGGGTGAATGTTACAATCCCACGTGGACTCGCCATCGGTCTATCTCCACTCTCTCTCTCTCTCTCTCTCTGTGCTCTCAGCTCATGTGAGCCACGTGCTCTCTCTTCATTTAGAGCCTGACATTTCAATCCCTGAGTCAGCTTCAGCCACAGCAACGCTCTCTCTGTGTCTGTCTGTTTGTCTCTCTCTCTTTCTCTTTCTCTCTCTCGTCTGCCATCCGGCAGATCGATAAGCGTTCGTCAGGTGTTTAGCAAGAGGATTTTTTTAATAGCACACTCAAAGATGCAGAAAATCACTCTCTGATTTACAAACAGGAGCCGGAGAATATTTACTTTGAGATAAAGGAGAGGGGCTGGCAATAGAAACATGTTAGAGAGATCCCAGTGAGTTACTATTTGACTCTTTGGGCTGAGAGCTGATTGGCTGAGTGAGGGCTATTTCACTTTTCTGTCTAAAGATGTGACAGAGGCCAAACAATACATGAAAACTAGTGACATAATTATTACGTAGTTCTGCTGTTGTGGTTTGAAAGTTAAGTACCCCAGCTTTAAAGGTACACTGTGTAATTTTTAGTGCCATCTAGCGTTGAGATCTTATATTGCAGTCCAATATAGTACGGAAGCTTTGAGTTAAAGGAACAATATGTAAAAATCTGGCCAAAAGTGGTACTGCAGTCACAGCACAATATTTTGTAGTCCTCTCCCACTCTCCCTGACTCAGGTTGCCAGATACACACCAAATCCAGCAGCAAACACGGGGAATTACTTTATCAGTTGTTTGTCTGTCTCCATTGCCATTGCAATGGAGACAGACAAACAACAGACCAACATTAGCATGCCATGAGGCATGCTAATGTTGAATCAATGTTTAATTTTGTATTTTTATTTGGACATTTGAGATAAAAAAAACAAAAAACAAAGTAAAAGCAATGTAATTATAGATTATCCAAAATAAATAAGCAATTGATGTCCAAAATAGGAGTGGGAAGAATGGATGTTGGAACGTATTTCTTCAGCGTATCAACATCAGGGTTTGCTCCAGAGGATATAACCCTTACATTTGATTTATTCCCTATTTTTAGACAAACATGTATAAGTCCCACATCAAAAAGTGACTAACATTATTTTAATTGGGTACATATGGTCTCAAATGATTCTTTTTAAAATTAAGCTATAATCTGCAAAAAAACGTCTTGACCTTTGTCTTTTACCGTATTTAGAGCAATCTGTCATAGAATGTGATAACATGAAATTAAATACAAAAAGGCACTGCCTGGAATCGAATTTTGCATCACACCTAAAGTTTTATCAGCCGTCGCAATTGTTCAAAGGCGTCTCGATATAAATCTTTGTTTTAGTCTTTGTTTTGTCAATAATTATTTGAGCGTCATAACAAGACCTTTTTAGTTCTGCGGCCACATGTTATTTTACCACTGAGACTAGTGAGCCGAGTGGAGTTCTGGCAACCCGATCAAGGACTTACATGACACTTCCTGATTGGCTGACAACTTTTACGGGTCGTAAAACTAATTTTGATAATCAAATATCTCGGCTGAACTACTGTTATCAGTTAAAGATGTATTCGAAAAGAGCATGATTTAATAATGCCTTTTGAAATATGGGGGCCGGTTAATGATGACTTGACATGCAAATATTACATACTGCTACTTTAAGGAGCACTGTCAAAGGCAGTCATTCACCAGACTGCCAAGGAAAGAATACTTTAGTTTGATAAATGACCAGATCTCTCCAAACGTCTCAGGCAATTGACAGTCGCATGGAGGCGACTTGTAAACAAAAACACGTTCAGACGCGGAACCCTGCAAAGAGGCTCTACTGAGTTTTATCATGGATCAATTATAATATATAGTTTTACAAACGCGGTGTGAAGAGAAGGAGGAATAACGTCCGTGGGAGCTTAAAACAGAAGCAGGAGATTTACACAGCCGCGGCAGGACATGGCTAAAAGCTCATGTTAGCTTTAGCGTGAGCCACAGCATCTGCATCACGGTAAGAAAAACAAAACATTCACTCACGCTGCTGATGAATTATTCTGGTGATTGTTTGGTGGGAATTCTGTGTGTGCTTTATTTGAGGCTTTTTATCTGAATAAGTTTAGTTGAAACTTGTGATAGTAGTTGGACTGCGCTTGGATCGGGTCAGAACATCCCGTTTGTGTACAAACTACACAATGTGCCTCCTGTTGTGTTAACGCTGTCTTTGTGCGTGTGGTTTGCGATGTTGACACTTTTCTGCTATGACGTTGGACTTCTGCGTAATTATTTTTCTAAAAGATTGTTGTTTGGATCGTTCTTTTACATAACTGTGGTCCTCCATGGTTCTTTTATATAACTGTGGTCCTCCATGGTTCCTTCTTCCAACTTGTGAAGGCACAGTGAAAGCAACGATATCAGTAGCTCAAACGCGATTCTCGCATCCTTTTTGTTCCTTATCCACCACTGTTTTTTAAGATGGCGCTTTTAGGTTCATGAGAGGTAAATATTCTTAAAAAGGTCACCTTTGTTAGTAGTTAACATGTTTTTTAACATGGAGCAGCTGTAAAAATTACACAGGGTGGCTTTAATAGATGGAAGCTTGATGTTTCACAAGGGTCTGTCCATAATACTGTTTTTGAAAACTTGGGGGGAACAGTTCAGAACTCATAATTCATGCCTCTAGTACCTGGCTCTAAAACATTTCACTTCTATCACTAGTTTTCATGTATTTCTGTCTCTGTCACATCTTTCAATTAGCTTTTTAAGACAGAAAAGTGAATAAGAGGACCCCCCTCACTCAGCCAATCAGCTCTTAGCCCAAAGAGTTAAATAGTGACTCAGAGAACTCTTTCCTACACAAAAGATCACATGCTTTTGTTCATATTAGAGTTTTACAAGACAAATAAGTCAGTACCCCAGCTTTAAGTGACATCACAGTAACAATATGTGTCTGTACATGTATATATGTGTGTGTATAAAAATGTAAATGTGTGTATATATGTATGTGTGTATATCCATCCATTTTCGTCCCCTTAATCAATTTTTGGGTTGAGGGGTGGCAGTCAGAGCTGCACCCAGTACACATAGCACCAGCCCCTTACTGATCCTCCTGTAGGTGGTGAGTCCACAGGAGCCTTGATCTTTCAGTGGGGGGCTTAAGGACACAACGACAGCAGTCATCAGTGGGAGTCGTGAAGTAGGTCTCGTGGTGGGCTCGAACCCACGACCTTCAGACTCAAAGGCCAATGCCTACCAACTGAGCTACTGTCGCTCCTGATCGACACACATACTGAGCTACTGTCGCTCGTATGTGTGTATATGTAGTGTATGTGTGTGTGTATATGTAGGCTATCTATGTGTATGTGTGTGTGGTTGACCAGTTCAAACACATGCATTGACTTCAGGACAGACACATTTAAAAACAACATCATCTTTCATATATTTGGGAAAACGCACAGGTTCAATCTTACTGCTGTTGCATCATATTCCGACCTTTATGATAAAAATAATGTTTAGTCATATTTAGAACTTACTCGGTTTGGATCGTACTCCAGAGCTCTGCGTCTGGCGGCGTCCAGCTGGTCGTATCCTGGGACTGCTCTGGAGTTGTGGTACTCCCTCTGTCCTCTGGAACATACAATGCATTTTGGAATTTTAAAACTGTCCAAAACCAGCAGCGTTTTGTCAAAAAATGTGAAATATGTGACAGAAAAGGAAAAAGAAAGGCAGTGAAGGATAAAGCTAACGAGCTGACAACACATCACTGTTAGAAACTGTAGGGAACCAAAATATACAAGAAATGGAAGAAAGATGTGGATTTGATGAAAATGGAAGATGAGAGAGAGAGATCAGAGAGAGTTCATAGAAAGACCAGAGAGAGAGAGAGAGAGAGACAATAGAGAGGGAGATCAGAGAGAAACCACAGAGAAAGACCAAAGAGAGAGAGAGAAAAGAAAGAGAGATTAGAGAGAGACCAGAGAGAATGACCAAAGAGAGAAAGACAAGAGAGAGAGGGACCAGACAGAGAGAGACCAAAGAGAGACCAGCGAGAATCCGGAGAGAGAGGGAGAGACCAGAGAGAAAGACCAATGAGAAACCAGAGAAAGATCAGAGAGAGCTAATGAGCTGACAAGACATTGTTTAATCTCAACAATATGAATGATGAAAAATGTAGTGAAACTGCAAGACGAGCAAATCCTGCCAGACGTATGTCCTATACCTGTGTTTCCATGTCATTTCTCATTCAGATTATTTCAACATTATTAATCAGGAACAAAGAAGAGAGTTTAATCTTTTTAGCTTTTCTAATCATCAATTATCCTTTCACACAAGGAATCCGTGTATCATCCATTCATTTGATTTTCTGAATAAAACCAACATTTAAAAAATGAATAAAAAGAGATTTTTTAATTCTCAATCTTTTAATTTAATGCAAGATTGAAATATTAGTTTGTTTTTTGTTTTCTGTGGATCCAATTAAATTGAAAATGCAGTAAACCAATAATGACAGTCTAAATTACTTCATTTGAAATATAAGAGTCCCCCGGAAGTGATTGGCAAGTGCGCGTTTTTCACGAGAACCAGAAGTGCCGCCTTCAGGTGCTTGGATCACATCTTGTTTGCTCTGGTTGTACGGAGAAATGGCTCTTAATATTCTATCCAATATTAGTCAGTTTACCAACTTTTTCGTTCGCTGCTGCAGAGGCAATCCTAGCTGGGAATTTGCGGACAGATAAACGAGAGAAGGGGGTCTTCGAGAGTGAAGGGTTCTTCGATGAAAAATATATACACAGGTATCAAGGTAAGACATAACTTGGCAACTAGAGTTAACAGCTAAGTTAGCGTTAGCTACGACACATGGAGCTTAAGCACATACACAAAGCACTTACACATGTAACTGTTTGAAACAGTCAGAAAGACTGCAGGTTTGAAACAGTCAGAAAACCGGAAGTTTTGAAACAGTCAGAAAGACTGCAGGTTTGAAACAGTCAGAAAGACTGCAGGTTTGAAACAGTCAGAAAGACTGCAGGTTTGAATCAGTCAGAAAGACTGCAGGTTTGAAACAGTCAGAAAGACTGCAGGTTTGAATCAGTCAGAAAGACTGCAGGTTTGAAACAGTCAGAAAGACTGCAGGTTTGAATCAGTCAGAAAGACTGCAGGTTTGAAACAGTCAGAAAGACTGCAGGTTTGAAACAGTCAGAAAGACTGCAGGTTTGAAACAGTCAGAAAGACTGCAGGTTTGAAACAGTCAGAAAGACTGCAGGTTTGAAACAGTCAGAAAGCCGCTTGGCTCATGTTGAGCTTGAGTTCCTGTCCTGACAGATGACAGGTTGAACAAATCCAGTAAAACTGAGAGCTTATATTAGCATCTTTCTGTTTGGTAACTATTTCTCTTCTGCTGACTTTATAAGATAGTTAAGATATAAATAGTAATAATTATATGTCTGTTCTAAAACTACTTCTGTTTTAGATCTCACTGGGTGTGCAGCAGGTAAAGGTTTCAGACTACACACTACTCCCAGGCCTGGCCTATACCAGTGATCTGCAAAGATCTCCAGCTGGACCTGGCCTATACCTTTCAACCTGTGTGTATCATCGTAAATTTATGTTACAAAAAATAGAATCAATGCATTGCATGAAAAAGCACATACTCATCAGTGTACATTATGTTCTGTCAAGTGTAAAAACTGTTCTTTAATCCAGTTGTCCTGGTCTTAATGGCCATTACATATGCAGTGACCTCACAGACAACGGGGATATGCACAGACAGAGATGTAAACTGTATGGTCAATCTCACATGCTGGTTAGAAAGTTTAACATGTGCTCTGTGAATGTAAAAACCTCCTTGTTCCAGTCATTTTGGGCTCCTTTATACACAGCCCAACTGGCAGAGATACAAGCAGGCAGTCTGCAGAGGTTAACAGTTTCCTCTGCATATCACATATTATATATGTGATTATTATGTGTGTTTTTAACACTGCTTAGTAAAGTCCATATAAAAATGGACCTGTGTTGCTGCTGAAAGGAAGTCTATGAGGTGTGAAGTTGTTCTGTAAATACACAACTTGTCATTTTACAGTCTACAGTCTTATTTGTTACAAATGTCATTTCCTAATCTATAATTCAATTGATACATAATCGGATAAGAGTTTAGTATTTGTTTTAATCTACATAATTCTGTCCAAGTGTGTTTTAATTTGGGAATAAACAAATCAAAAATATTTTCACTGGAACAGACACATAGATTTACATACATGATGAATTTAGTCTTTGGCCTTTATAATTTGCCAAAACACAACAAGCTTTGGTTTTTGAGCCCTCTGGAAGCAGAATCCCTCTTGGATGTTGCAATACAATTATTCCAGGGATAAAGAGATGGAGCAGCAATAATTTTAGGGCAACTAATATGTAAAAAAAAAAAACAAATAAAAACAAAAACAAAATTGCACTTAACCTTGGCAGCATACTTTTAAATCAAAATCACTTTACGGAGACATTCACAATTCTATTGAGTGAGAGTCATTTGGGGGTCCTAGAGTTAAATCATTGTTGTGACATCACAGACAGGGCAGCTGCTCCTGCTGCTGCTCCATATAAGTTCTGTCACTATTTCAACCTGCTGCTGTATTAACCACACAGCTGGAAAAGGAACCACACACGCGTCGGTGGTGAGGCTGTTGTCATAGCGACTGCAGCGTAGTGGGTGTCTTTTTGACTGCTATTTCTGCACTGCTAACCTCCAGGCACACGCCGCTTTAACCCCAGGAGCAGGTCAAGAGTGCAGCCCAGTAAGTTGAAAAGAGTAAGGAGTCGCTCTGGATGTTTGTGTGAATCAGCGGGAACAGAGCAGTGTCCTTATTGGCGCTTTGGTGGCTATATCGTTGCTATCTGAGGCTACAGATTTTGAGTTATAGCTGGTGATTATTGCATTGACCTGATCTGTTGGAGAATTGACAACTTTGTGAAGTACTCCGAGGCGATGCTCTTGTGATTTAAGGCTATACAAATAACTTGAATTGGAGACTAGAGAAAGACCAGAGAGAAAGAGAGACCAGAGAGAGGTCAGAAAGAGAGAGAGACCAGATAGAGACAAGTGAGAGAAACCTCAGAGAGAGACTAGAGAGAGACCAGAGAAAGAGACCGGAGAGAGAGACTAAAGAGACCACAGAGAGAAACAAGAGAGAGCGACTAAAGAGACCACAGGGAGAGACCGGAGAGCATCTTTTAGTGCTCAGAAGGATTACAGGGTATAAAGAATTATGTTTCCTGTAATACCAGAGACTAATAGACAAATTAGTCTCTCACTCATCTCTGTGTTAAACCCGAATAAATGCAGTCAAAACCCTAAAACCTTTCGACGTGATCTTCCTCCCGCTACTCTCTCCATACCACGGCTTCTGCCTTCTCTCTCTAACGGCATATTTGCTGTTGTCAGTGATGAAGTCGGCGCCATAACAAGATAATTACGCTGTTGTTTCATTTGGAGAGGCGTGCGCTCTCAATCAACCTGACAGCTCTAATTACCGGCCCTGGGTTTTCCTAATGGCTCCTACTGGAGATCCCGACTCTGCAGTCCCAGAGAGCCGGTGTTTGTCAGAGGAGAAAGAGAGAAATTACTGATTACAGAGGTTTTGGTCAATACGACAATAGTCCCGGTCCTAGTTTAGACAGTAATAAACTCAGACTGGTATCTAAGTTGTTCAGCTACACATAAACTAGAGACAAAACTTGGTGTAATGATGGCGTAACAAGCTGTGTTTGGATGAGTGAAGCTTATTTAAAGTTTGGGTTTAGGCGAGAGAAGAAGAGGGACCAGAGAAAGGGACCAGGGAGTTGAACCAGAGAGAGGCCGAAGACAGAGAGGGACCTGAGAAAGGGACTAGAGAGAGAGACCAGAGAGAGAGACCAGCTGTTGCCACCAATAGTATTAGCCTTATCCCAGAAGAAACCCATTAGAGCTCACTCGATCAACCAATTTGCCCGGGAACGTGGAGCCAAATATAAATAAATGTGGAGGTAGCAACGGCCAAGCAACCAAGAGCGAATCAGGAGAGGTGCTTGTCTGTTCAGGATCACTGAGAGCACTCAACCACAGATTTAAGCCCAAAAAGTCAAAACTTCACCATGGACACTTCCCTATTGGGCTTTAATGAGTTAGCAGGTTAGCATTGTCTATCTGTATACAGCCAATGTTAGCATGGTCCATCTTTATACAGTCTGTGGCCTGGCTCTCGCTAACCTGATTTCTCTCTGGACATTCTAATCGCTCTGGTTTTCAGGTGTGCGTGACTTGACGGCCTTCACATGTGATTAGCGCCTCTCCGCTAGCACGAGTCGCGCTGCAGAAAAAGGTTAGTCGCGCGTGTCAAAGCGTATTATCCAGGAGGCCGTCTGCGCAGTTACCGGAGCGAGAGGACGAGAGATGAAAGCGGGCGCCAAAGATGTGAGTGGCGTTCAGCAGGAAGACGACACAAACGGACGGCATTGTTGAAAGAGAGAAGAGGACATAGTGTGACACGTGTTAGAGTTTGGAATATTGATTCAGACAAGTTTGACAATATTATGAACAAGATAAATGCATTTTTTTTAGGAAAACTGCAAAACTGTGGATAGGACAGATAGATTTG